AAAGAAGCACAAGTGAAGGTTCCATTGAGTCTAGGAGTCCAAACCCTCTTATCTGGCTTGGAGGGATCCAAACAAACCTGATTAAGACACCCAAGCAAAAAAGAAAGAGACTCAATTTCATCAAAATGAATAGAAGTCTGTTGTAGTTGCTCCTACATCTATAGCATAGTTCTTGACAAAGAAACTCTTACAAAAAGTAAATAACCAACATGCTCACTAAATGACAAACAACTGTTATCTGCCAAGGTATGTTTGCATATCTGACAACCAAAACAGCATAAACAAAGAGGATTCTGGTTGGCCAAACTCTGGTTTTCATTTTCCCCTTCTAGCCTAGGTGGCATGTCATGCTTCATGGTGCATGCTTTGTTCCCCTCCGTGCTTATGTTTTATTAAACAGATTCTCCTGTAATGAAAATTTGATCTTTACAAAAATAACAAGGACCATGAAAAAAGTGTCTCTATTTTTAGGTTACTGATTCTACAAAATAAAAACTGGAAATAAGATTTTCTGTTCAGTAACTGATCAATTTATTAATTAATAAATGAAAGAATGAAATGCACACATAAGTAGTGCCTAACACCCCTGCAAATGAGCTAGACAATCGGAAATAACTTCTAAATAAAACATAAAGAAAAAAACTTCTAAACAGCTATAACTAACAGAAAATTAGCAGCATACCTGTACCATTTCACTGATGAAACGCAAACCACCAGGTCCAATAATAGAACCAGCAAGAAGATAACCAACAATAACCTATCATTCATAGTCACAAAGATACACAGAACCCCGCAATCAGAAGATTTAATAAGGGTTGTGACCCAAGCTGAAATGACCTTTCAGAACAGGTTAAAAATTAGGAGGATTTTATCCATTAATCAGTCTTAGGTATACACACCGGTTGGCCCAAACAGGAAAAGGTAATCCCACCAATTGTAGAAGAAACAATTACAACCACCAAATCCGATATTAATCTGCAGTAAACAAGTGCAATAAAACAGAAGCATGGATCACAATTGAAAGAATAATGAAAAGTATGTTCACAAATTGTGGCAGAAATAGTCATGACCAGCATTCAAATAAAAATCGAAGTATGATTCACAAGAAAAAGATTAAATCAAAAGATCAACAAACTTATTACTGAAAAAAAAAAAAAGATCAACAACCTCGCTAACAAATCTCAATAAAAAACAACTACTATTTAGTGCATAAAGCTACACAGAAAGATATACTAAAATGATAAGCAGTGGCTAAGGTAATCAATTGAAACATTGACCTGGATATTTTCCAAAAACCTGGAAAACATCTTGAACATGCAAACCCAATGGACTAGGATCTAGGTCAAACACATTGGTTCTAATGCATTTTTCTTACCCCACCTATCTCACTCTAGGCCCTCTTTCCCAGGACGGTTTTCACTTCAGGCTTAATAGATAAACTAGTATTACAAACTTGTAATATGATGAGACACCAGAGTCCAAGATTACTCATGATTTTCAGAAGAGCAAAAGCAGATAAAAGCAATTGACCTTAGATCTACTTGAAGAATTGGATACTTCGATTTCCTGTTGGACATAACAAATACATTATCCTGCAATGAACAAAGTGAAAGAAGTTATCTGAAGCAATCATATTCTAGTCACTATGTCAAAGATGTCTTAACATCAGCACACCTTTCTGTCTATCAAGGTTGTCATATCATCAGATCCTTCATTTTCCAGAGAAAAGACATCTTGAAGCTGGAATGATCTAGTGCCACTGCAAGAAAAGCATTAACACACTAAGCAAATAGAAATGTTTTTAAATTCTGGATATTGGCATGATGAAGATGATAAGTTTTGGAAGACACTAAAGATTCAATTCTTAATATAATGTATTTTATATTGTAAATCATTGCTCCTTTATCTTATTAATTCTTTGGCCTTCAGAATCAGGAAAACTTAAACTCAGATGTCATTCCCCCACCAATAGGAAAAGTTTTATTTTGAATTATGGAACTTTTTTTGGTTAGAGATTTATGGCACTTAAGAGAAATGAAGATTATGGTCTCTGCAAAAAGGAGAAACAAGGCTCTTCTCTATTTCTCCAAAAGAGGTGCAAGGCTCTTTGCCCACATTGCATGATATTCATAAGGGAAATGAGTTGGTAGATAACCTCTTCGTTCATTATAAGATAATGAGGAAAATTTGAAATCTCATTCTCAATCTAAGCAGATACTTGTGGAACTCTCTCTTAACATCAATGAACTTATCAACCAATGAGTTGGAGAGCCACTTGGAAAACTGAACATGCTTGGATTTCATCTCCACTTGCAGTCCTTGGTGCATGTGAGAAGGAAGAGTGTTTTGGGGATCAAATAAAAGCCTAAAATCTGCATCCTTTTGATAGGATATGAAAGCAAAGATTGAATATTGAGTTTGCACATCTGAAGAAACTCAGGGGTAGGCCATCAGCAATGAGATTTGAGAAAGCGACAGTTCCAGTGTCCTCGCTAATCTCTTGAGTTGTTGAACATAGCTGAAGCAAAGAAGCAAAGAAGCAAAGAAGCAAAGAAGCAAAAAAGTGTCCTCAACCCTCACTGTTAAAGGATACCCATAAGGAATTGAACAGGAAATATCATGCAAGGGCATACTGCTATATGCAATTACTTGTGATTAAATAAAAGGAAAGGGCCATAGAGGGGCTTTCATGCATTACTTGAAAGTTTATTCTCCCAATTCCTATGCTGGCCAAAAAGAAAGATGATTTGCTTGCAAAGGGAGCAGTAACCGGATCTAGGTTATGATCCACATGGCCATCCCTTTGCAGTTTGCCTTTTCTCTGATGTATTCCAGATTGCTTAGGCTGCTAAGATATTGCATTGAGCTCTCTTTCTTTCTGTAATTCTATCTCCCTTATCAATAAAAATTTCCTAGGTGTTCATTGAAAATAATGGAAAAGAAAAAGGAAAAGGAAAAGGAAAAAAAGACATGGTAAAGTCATTTTCTTCTTACAAACCCAAGTTTATAGTTTTTCATACTTTGCCTCTTGTGTATCATTTTTCCTGGACTTTTCATGAGTAATTTTTGCCACAGTTTCCAATACAGCCTGAAAAAAAATAAGCATACCATTTCAGCTGATAACATCAGTCATAGATAAAATGAATGGTATTAACTTTGAAAGACGAAAAACATACTTGAAATGAAGCTTAAAGATGCCACTATACAGGTTTAATGACTTTTACCTGCACATAGTTTTCAACTAGATCTAAAGGGTAAGTGCTGCATGAGACAAATAACAATGCAGGACAGATTACTGGTCAGAAACTCTTTCCTAATACCATCTAAGGATTCCATGGATGGATTATTAATAGAATCTGAAATATGCAATTAATTGGAATACTTTAAAAGGTCTGCCAAGACTTTAATTTTAAAGATCGATATGTCCAGCTTTATGTTCTTTTTAACAAGGCAAAATCATTTTAAAGTTGGTAAATCTGCGGTGTGAGCATGAGAATGTGAAATCCATCACTGAAACAGCATACAAATGGTTCCAAAAGGCAAGTGAGACATACTTGTTGATCTGCTACCGTGCTGTTGAAGCTGCTGGTATTGGGTCCTGACAACAATAGGAAGCACTATCATTTAAACGGTACCAACAAGAACAAGCTACCTGATTCAAATTAAAACTACTAAGAAGAAAATAACGTAAATGGAAGAATCACATATTATGAGAAAATCACTTGTTTGATGTGGGACAAGACAAAATAATGTATTTGGTGAGGTTCAATTTTTTTTCCTAAGTTTAAGAGTTTATTTACTTGCAAACTTTAGTCAATGGAAGTTTTTACCCAATCTCTTTTTCCTATTTAGTCAACACAAGTTAGAAACTTTTTTTCATCGAATAGGTTTACGTGTTTAAACCAAAGTAGAAAGAGGCACCAAAGGAATCCTAAAAGAGTGTTGTCTGCAACCCTAAGTCTCCAGCTAATAGAAAAAATACATAAAAATAGGAAAAAAAAGCGGGGAAAATCGGTGGTTTGGTTTCTCTACTTAGGATTCCTAGCAATCGAAACAGAAAATAAAAAAGCATCTGCATTTCTTTTCACGATGGTATTTAGTACATACTGAATGTTCCCATAAATACAAACAATTTATATTTCTCTAATTTCCATTTGTTTGTGCGGTCAATATTCTCAATTCTACGAACATTCCCATAACATTTTTTTTAATCAATTGAACCAAATTTATTGTCAATCTCAGTTAGACTAAATACTGCAATCCAATCCACGAGTTCGCATTTCAGCAGTTTACGCAATTCAGAATTTCAGATACAAAGAAAACAAAATGCAAGCCAAGCCTAAAACAGAATAGCAAACAAGGAAATTTTTCTAGATAGACAGAAAAATAAATGGAAGAAGATTGAAGCTGATGAATAAAATCCTAACCTTCAGGTTGATCATTCTCCGAGAATTCCTTCTCCAGCACACGATCGAATATCTTCGCAATACTCCCGTCATCGGAATCAGGAGGCGACGCATCCATGGAAAAATTACCATAAAACCTTTCTCTGATTTCCTTGTCTGGTCTCGCCGAAACAAAAGTCCTCGAAAGAAACGTGACAATTACAAGCCAAGACAAGAATCCAGATCTTTCTCGGCTTAAATTCGCCATTGAAGACAAAACAAAGATCTGAGCCTTACAGCAGACGGAAATACAGAAAGAGAAGACACTATCTGTAAAGAACAAAATAGAGATCGATGGCGAAACTGGTTCTTAGATCTCTGGAATCCATTTCTAGATGACTAGATCTACTGATAAAATCTCGTCTTTCGTTTCTTTAAATTTCAATTTAACGTTTTTTGGGGATTTCCGCAACCGAGGAGGAAGAAGAAGAGTTCTGAAGGACTCGTCAATTGATTACTGTTTTAAGTTTTAAGCGGGATATTATTTATTATTTCTTTTATATCACAACTTCACAAGGTTGAAACCTGAAGAGAAGGATCTCTATTTTTTTCATTTATTTGTATTTATTTATTAATTTATTAACGTAAATAGTTTCACACTTTCACGTTGCATTGTTTCAGTTGAGTTGAGCTGGTTGGCTAGGTAGAAAGCCATTCTCACTGAGCAATACTCCACAGCCGCACATCGGGAACATCTTCCCACGAATGCAACGATGTTTGTGAAAAGCTTTTGGGCCAGCCGAACTGCGTCTCATGGTCAGCAGATGCCCGTGAATTTGGCATCAATATACGGTCGGGATTCATTCCACCCATATAGTGGAGTTAAGATTTATAAGGGTAAACTGAACAATTAAACCTCCGTCCCCCCCAAAAAAAGAGATAGGATTAGCTGAACGCTTTATTGTTCACTTGTTCAGCCAAATCTTATCATCTTAAATGAGTAATTAGAAATTTTTTTTGCCACATACCCTTTTAGCAGGCTGTGAGTAGACCTGTTCATAGGCCGAGTAGCCCGATAGGCTGGTCCAGCTCCCGGATAGCTTTGAACACAGATTTAAGCCCACAGGCTTGACCTCGGGCCTAAAAGCCTGAGCTTGACTATTTTATGGGCCGAGCTTGGGATTTGTTAAAAAAGCCCGGCCCGACCCAACTTTTAAGTTAAACCAAAAAACCTAAAATAGTTCTCTCTTCTTAGTAGTCGAACACTCACCGGCGCAACCAATGAACTCTGGCGGACCGGCGGTGAGTCCTCTCTCTCTCTCTCTCTCTCACACACACACACAAACGCGAACTCAACACCAATGGACACAGTCATCGGCAGTGAGTCCTTTCTCTTTGTCATCTGATGAATCAATTTTGGTTATGTATCAATTTTTTGGCTAAGTACCTCGTCATTTGGTCTGCTTCCAAGTGGCTGATGACTCAGAGGCCGAAGTGGAGAACTTTTGTTGGATGAGGACCTGGATGCCGAGCTGACCAAGCCAAGCTGGGGGCAGATTAGGTGCCGAACTGACTGGGTCAAGCTAGGTAGGTTAGGTGTCGAACTGACTGGGTCGAGCTGGGCAAGTTAGGTGTCAAACTGACTGGGCCAAGCTGGGCAGGTTAGGTGCCAAACTGACTAGGCCGAGTTGCATATTAGGTGACAAGCTGACCAGAGTGTCGAGATGCCTATTAGGTGTCGAGCTGACTGGTGGCGAGCTGGATTGATTGTTGAGCTTCGTAGTTCTTTAGGCCTGCAAGGAATCAATGTTAGAGGACCCGGGGTGGCTAACCCGGCGAGGTTGCTCCGATGCTTAAGTTAGTACTCTCATAGTAGACTGCATGTCAAATTTGTCGGCGAGCACGTCTCGCAGGTCGCCAGGTCGGCGCTTGTGCCAGGCCACCAGCTTGGCGCGTGTGCCAGGATGCCAACTGGGACACCATCATCTTGGCTAAGGCAAGTTGTTGCCTAAGTGGTTCTGGATGTCACCTAGTTGTTCCGAGATGCCATGTGTCACAGTGTCATTGGAGGGCCAAATCTGCCCTCATCACCATCTTTCTATTAGGTCAAGCTTCGGGCTTTTTATTAGGGTCGGGCTCAGGCCTAACAAAATCCTGTTTATGAAGAGTAAAAGCCTAGCCCGAGCCTAGCCCAACCCGGCCAATGAACAGGTCTAGCTGTGAGTCCCTTATATTTTAAGACTGATGGGGAGTTTTATCATTGGTTCCACAGCCTGCTGAACAGCTAAAACGTTCAGTTAATCTGAATTCGAAAAAGAGTCACTCAGTCAACTCGAACATACTGGTTATTGTGAGTTTGAATCCTCTACAATTCTACTCGTAATAATTATTAAGCCAATCATGACACCCCACGTCACTTCCATACACTTGAACACAATTGGCAAGGTGTCAAAATCGGAACGGGATCTGCTCCTCACATAGGGACGCCTCACAGGCACATCCACCATGCATTGGGAACATCTCCCGTGAATAATAACTTATAAGTATGGGAGATGTTCCCAGTGCATGATAGGATGTGCGTGTGAGGTCGATGTGAGGTGCCCAGTGTGAGGAGTAGATCCAGTTTCGTCAAAACCCTACACCTAAGGCCTCGTTTGGTTTTAGCCACATTGCTACCTCGTGTTGTTATTGCCACACCATTCTAAAAAAAAGAAAAAAAAAAGAAACTATTAGCTTATCCTTTTTTATTTATTTGGTAGGAAAGCTATTAGTTTGTCCATAACACAATAATTAGAATGTGCTGTGGTATTAAGAAGGGTGGACCAGCTTTTGCATTTTTTTTCCTAGACATCTCGTTGGCTTTCCAAGTGGGTTTTTCTCAAAATGCACAAAGGTCATGGTTGAAAGTATATGAGTTGCGGATGACAACATAATCGTTTCTGTTCTTGAAAACAAAAACAAAAATTATAATGTCTTTTGTTTCTAAAAATAAATCAGGTTATCAAACACCCCTTAGATGATCGTTTGGCTTCCCTTAAAAAATGTAGGCGTAGGACGTGATCAAACCTGTTGTATGTTCTTTCTAACAAGATCAATGAACTTGTTCTTCGGTCTCCATCCCTTAATCTCCTGCAATGTGTGTTATTTTTTAAGTGTATGTAATGTGTATATTATTTTTAAGTGTATGTAATGTGTATTATTTATAAGTGTATACTATATAATACCAAGAAAAGAGCACTAGTTTTATTCCTTAGCTATGATTTTAACCAGCTTTAAATTCCACAATTCAAGTATGGTGAAAAAATAAATAAAAGGAAAAATGGACTTTGTTTAAAATATTTTGTTTTTGCCATTGTTGTACCGAGCTATCCACCCAAATAGTAAGATTTGAATCCCTAAAGACTGGGTTTTCATAATTGGAGTCTGATTTAGGTTTATAGATTAAAGTTGTGTTTGGTAGTGTTGACATGGTCGATTTATAGCTATTAAGTAAACCTAGAAGTAGCATTGTGATATGGATTGATATAATAGGCAACCATGTTTTGTGATGAAAATGCATGAAGTTAGTTGTTATCAAGCAGCCCTTGTAATTTGGTTCCAACTTTATAACATTGTTAATTGTTATCCAAGCCTAACTTCAACCGTTCAAGATAACCTAATCAAAATTAGACTGTTTTAGGTTTAAGTAAATTTTAGGTTAGGCACATTATAATCAACGTTTTGGTTCTCTTTCTCTTTGCACTACGGATACATGTAAATCATGTATTGTTGTATACGACCTAATATCATACACCTTCAAATTTAACATTGCATATGTAACATATAGATATTGCAGTGTCCATGCAAAGTGCACCAGGAAATGTCACTATCACCTAGAAAACGCCTTGTCAACTATGTTTTCAGTTGTTATTATTGACTCCTAACTTAGTTGTACCTGCATGATCACATATCCCCTTCAATTTAATGAAAGCAAGTCACATGAACATTAACATGGGGAATGCCAACAGTTTTGTTGTACCAACTAGATCTTGGAAGTACTTGTTCTCAATGTAGCCAAACTGTCCATATTTTTCAACAAACCACAATCACATCAAATATTCATCTATGGTGATCTAGACCACCATAATGTATGATTCTTTAAGTGTGGTTCAGTGTCTCAGTCAACCTGTCTAGTGAATCCCTTATATATGGATTGGTTAATTCTTAAATTGGGATGTCTATGGTGTTTGTCTTCTTGCTTTGTGTTTGTGTATAGTTCTTTTTGCTTATTTTCACCATCCAATTTGATATGACCTTATTTAATCTTTCTGCAGGCTATGTTGAGCTGTCAGCTTTCCATTTTCAAGAGGTAGAAAATGGTATGGGAATAGCAGAGATACTGTTGAATGATTGCATCTGTTAACTCAATGTGGTTGTGGCCTGGTGTTGTATTGGCTGTTTACAAAAGAAAAGCCCCATGTTGAATGCATAAATACCAAATAGCACCAGTAAGACATACCTTTTAACAAATGAGTTATGAGTTAAGTCTAAGAACATTTCTTCACAAAATCAGTATCAATATTACTCTGGCTTTCAAACAACGATTAAGAGAAATCTTCACCTTGGCAAGGGAGATTGGGGTACAATTTAAATGGGCAAGAAGATCAACAAATGGAATGGCTAAAGAGTTAGCTTAAGGAGTCAATAGACAATAATTGTTTTGGGCTTCTTTGTAAGATTGATTCTATCAAAAGGCTCTCCATATAGCCTTTGGATGGTGATAGTTGTACCCCATATCTTTTATTATTATTAATGAAAGTTATCGTTTCCCATAAAGAAATTATTACCATGGGTTTTTTATAGTTGGGCTAAGTCCATTGGTAAGATATTCTTCAATTCAAGCTTCTCAGATATACGATCATTCTGTTGGGTTCCACAAATTATATTATCAACCTATTCAAGAGGTTGGGTCCTATTGTTTGCCTTAGAATATCCAACTTTACCATTCAAACTTCTCATGAACAGTAAATATTGTATCCTAGAGTGATCTTCGACAACTGGCAAATACACAATTTACAGTTCCCCGTTTACCATCGGTTTCTCACCTAATGGAAGTCCCATGTCATAGCAGGATTCTCATTCCTACCCAACAAATCCACGTTATTCTCATTCTCTTGACTAAACTTATTCCACATGCCTGAATGGTTTCAAAAGCATGGAATATGTCATGTTTGGCTTGGCAACATGTATTATTATCATCATGTATACAAATGCCATCGGAAAAAACTACCAGGTATTTGCAATGAAATTTGCCACATATGTTGCTACAACATACTAGAAAATATGTGTTTAGGATTGATTAACTAAAACTTTTGTAATTTGATTATATGTTTCCATTTTTTGAGCATTAAGGATTTTTTTTTTAAGTTTTGTAAAGTTCATTTTAGTAACTTGATCAACCAACGAGTAAATCGAACATCTTATTCTGTTTTCTTCTTGATGAGCAATTGGAACAATTGTTAGGACTTTGGTATTCAACCT